TTTGCAGATAAGGAAATGGAGGCCTGTGAGGTGAATCTGCTCAGGGTTCGGGGAGGGGGGCGGGGGAAGCGGAAGTGGGGACACATCCTCGCCAGGTGGGTAGACTGCTTTCAAGGGTCCAGTGCTGGGAAGGGCCCGTGAGGGCTTCCTCCTGCCCAGTGAATCAGATCTGGGCCCTGGGCAATGGTTGTGATCCAACCCAGCCGTGGTGTGAAGAGCGCCTGTGTGCGGCGGAAACCGTCCTCCACCCTGGCTCTCCTCACGGCCCTTCCCAGCCCCCGTGCAGCTGGTTGAGGCCACATGCCTGGTGAAAACCCACGGGCCCAGCCCTGGGGAACACCCCTGGGGTCTCCAGCGCTCTCCCCAACTTGTAGCCCCGAGGTAGAAGAGGGCTGCTTTGTGACTTTGTCTAGGGGATCCTGCGACTGCAGCTGTAGCTCCGCCTCCCCCATCCCGAGTGCCATCCCATCCGACTGTCCAGGCGACAGTCCCTGTACCCTTGAATCAGATCTGCCTTGATCTTATCCATGTCCATTGTGTTCCTCCACACCTTTCTCTTCTCCCTGTGCTGGGAGCCACCCCAGGGCCCCTTGAGCAATTCCTGGTTCTGAGCCGGGTCTGTGTGTGGCGGAGGCTGCCTGGAACTTGGGTCTGGGATGTGTGGCCTCGCGGGCTCAGCGCCCTCCCTCTCTCTCACCCCCAGTGCCCTTTGCCCTTTCCCCACTCCCTGGCTAACCTGACTCTTGCTGTTCATTTGATTTCTGCCCACGGGGAAGCAGAGGCCCTTTCCACAGCTCCTGGATTAGAAGCAGCTCCATTGCGGCTGCGGAGTCACTGGGCGCCTGGGCGAGGGCCCCCGCTGCGGCCTTCATGTGGGAATGGCCTATTCCTCGTGGCTCTGGGGCATCATAGGCCCCATGTGGCCTGCGTAGAAAGCCACTTGGCATTGACAAGGAAGGGGACAGTCCTGCCTGACAGGTCCATGGACCCACAGTGGTGTCTGTCTAGTGCACCAGGCTGGCTGGGCCCTAGAGCCACCTTGGAGTCCGCATTGTGTGCAGCTGCTGTGAAGGTCGAGGGTGAGCGTGGCTCCTGCCTCCGCCCACACAGGCTCTTCAGCTCACAGCGGTGTCCCCCACCGCTGACCCTCAGTTAGTCCCCTCAGGACCCATCTTATTCATTTACTTATGTGGGTGGTGCCAGGCTCTCCACCCAGAGCCACCTCAGCCACAGTGTCCACAGAGGCTCTCCAGAGCCCTGCACACCTCGACCAAGCGCAAGGCTCCTGGCGCCCTGCCCTCTCGTGTCACCTTCTTCCTGGCCCTCCTGCAAGGGACCTTGGCGACTAGAGGTCCTGGATGCACTTGCTGTGGTCCTGTCTGATATCTGCCTTGGGGGTGGCGGTGCTCCCAGGCCAAGGCCGAGTGCGCAGACTCCTGGTCTCCAGGTGTGGTCCGGCCTCGCCCTGACGGGCGCTCCTCTACCTTTGCTTCACTTTTTCCCTGGAAGAATGACTGCRGGGCTGGATATTTCACTGCTTTCTGCCCAGTTTGCATCTCCTTATGTACCCAGTGAGCCACCTCCCTGGGAGTTGGGTCACCTCTAGATTCCACAGCAATTTTCACCTTCAGAAGTGACCTCACCAATAGCTGCTACAGCCGGGTGACCATGTGGCTGCCCAGGAATCAAAGGTCTCTCCGCCTCTCTCTTTACCCTGTTTTCCCCCGGCCACATTTCTGGTAGTCGGGGCTCTTCTAGTAAGTCTGAGAAGCCACTCTCTGTTCCCCACACAACGCACCTGACACCAGATGTGTGGCTGTCCACACGAAGCAACCCCTGAGAACCCACTGGGTGTCCTACAGCTAGATCCACGTCCTAGGGACTTGGTCTTGGAGCAGACCCACAGGTGGCGGGCGCCATCCCACAAGCCTGTCCCCTGCACATGCCAGCCCCCGGCCCCGTCCTCAGGGCTTGCCCCTGGCTGGCTGGAAACAGAGGGTCCCGCCGCCCCTCCTCACGTTAGGTGATCTGCTGGAGCAGCTCACAGAACTCAGGGAAGGACTTCACTTCTGTCAACTGGTTTGTTACCAGGCACACAGTTCACAAGTATCCCAGGAAGAGGGACACGGCAGTCATTGTGAAGGGGCCTGGACTTCCGTGGTCTTGCCCCTGGGAGCTCTTCCAAGCTTGCTGTGGGAGAGTTTATAGAGTTTAACAGAGCTTCAGCTCCAGCCCCATCCTTCCCAGGGGTTGAGGGGGTGCTGCGAACACCCTCGAATCACTTGATTTTCTGCTGAGGGGCCCCATCCTGCGGCTGGCTGTCCCCTCCAAGTCACCTCAGTAGCACAAACTCAGGTCTGATCAGGGGCTCGTTATAAATAACAAAGACACCCCAGTCACTCAGGAATTCCCAAGGGTAGGAGCTCTGCGCCAGGAAACCTGGATCATGCCACAGTTGCCTAACCTGCACCAGGTTTCCCTGAGCCCCTGGGAATAGGGCTTATTTGCTGTGGCAGCGGAGAGGGGTTTGCACAGGACAGGTGGAGGGCTCTGAAGTACGGCCAGAGGTGAGCTGGCCGAGCCGTCCCCTGGGTTCTCTCCACGTGGCAGGTCACCAGGCCCCTCTCCTGGGGCTTCTGGGCAGGGAGTTTGGAGGAACAGTGTGTGTTTGCTGTCCTGGCCCAGAGCCCAAAGGACATGCTCAGTCAACAGTACCCGAGCCCCAGGAGACAAGCCCAGCTGGGCTCCCAGACCCCGGGCAGCACCTGCCGTGTCCTGGAACTGCCTCTTCTCTCTCCCACTGTGTCCTGTGGGACGTGTGGCAGCCCCTGAACAGCCCGACTTTACTTTAAAATGATCCCTTGATGAAGTGACCTTTGCTCTTCCGAGGCCATTTCCAGAGACATCTGATAAGGGCACTGCTAGTCTTGAACTTTATGACCAGTTGTCCTGCGCCCTGACAGAGGGCCCCTGTCTGGCAGCTGACGGCAGGAGGAAAGAGAGAAGGGGACCAGATGGCACCTTGCTGGAACAGCAGACCTACCTCAGCTCTGCCACCGGAGCTGGCTGTGGCTCTGCCGACTGTCACTGGCCAAAGCATCTGCCCATCTGTCCAGGCAGCCACCTTGTTACAGACCCGACCAATGGCTGCTGGACACCTTTCTCATCGCATTAAGCCCACCGTGTAATTAATAGACTGATTAGTAATAACTAGGGTCATGCTGGGATTCTTTGTGTGGCTTTCCCAAGATCACAGGAACAAATGTACCAGGGCCATAAATGTGCACAGGTGACATGGGCAGGCAGCCACACTCCTGCCCCACGAGGCCTAAGGGGATCACGGGAGGGTGGCCACAGCTGACCCCTGCAGCCAGTGGTGGCTCATTTGAACAAAAATGGCAGGTGGGTGCTAGGGCTGGGGGGTGAGGATGGGAGATGGAAAACTGAGGGGTGGGAAGTTGCGGGGCGGAGGGTGGGCGGCCTTCAGCACCATTCAGTAGTGCCATACTGGCCACATTGCCAAGCCCAGGGCCGCGTTAGCTCATYCAGCCGCACAGCACACTCCGAGGAAGGTTCTAGGTCACTCCTGCTGCATGGTGGCAGCATCCTGTGAGTGGCCGAGAGAGGGAAGGTGGCCGTCTAGAGGAGCAAGGATAGCACGTGCCACAGCCTTGGAAACTTACGAGTTCCAGAGGTGGCTGGGTTACAGGGGTCCATTCTATACCAGGCTGCGCTGCCTGCAGCTGCCCCAGAGTCACCATGGTCAACGGGGAGCCCATTGGCTCCCCAGCAACTCCACATTCAGGCTGCAGGGACGAGCCATGCCCTGGGGTCCTGCCCTCTGCTGCACACACAGGTCTCCTAGGAAACAAGAGTATTTTTTATTTTTATTTTTTGCAGTACTGGGTCCCACAGTGCTCTCCCACTGAACTGCACTCCCAGTCCTTTTTGAGACAGTCTTGATAAGTTGCCCAGGCTGGCCTTGAACTTGGATCCTCCTGTCTCTGGGTGATCAGGGCCAGTGACCAGCAGGGCACGCGGGCACCTGACCAGAGAGGCCCTGGTGGGAAGGCTGCCCTCTTTGCTCATGTCCAGAGCTCAGGGTGGCTCCTCAAGGGCGCTTGGGGAACGTGGAGGGAAGTACTTGCCAGCTCGAGCCCAGGTTCTTTTGTGCCACTAGAAGGCCAGGCTTCTCTCCTCAAGGGTGGCCCTCCCCACACCCAGAACCCCTCCCTCTTGCTGGTCCCCTCGGTTACTCTGGGTCACCACCTCATCCCTTCTTGCCTGGATTAGCTTCCCAACAGGTCCTCCCAGTGGCCTGACCCTGGCAGCACTGGACCTGGCAGCCCTGGAAGACTTTCCAGGTAGTTTGCAGCTGTCTCAAGTCCAGGATCCCCTGTGCCCACTGCTCTGTCCTCGTTCCTGTTGTGTCCAGTCCCCAGAAGGTGCTGTGCCCGTCTCTGAGCTGTCCCTCTCCATCCTGGGGCCTTGGCCTGCCTGGCCCTCCTGGCTGCCACTACATGCACTGCAGTGTCCCATGCTGTGTGGTGGCGCCTCCTGCTGGATCACGGGAGGAAAAAAAAGCTGAGGAAGGAGGAGTTCAGCAGCCAATCATCAGGACAGGTGTTGGGTGACTCAGAGGAGGGCTTGCTCCTGTCATCCCACCCCTGGGAACCCAGGTGCTCCCCCTGCCCTCGGCTCACCTCAGCGTGTTCCCCAGGCCCACCGTGGTGGGGGCAGGGCTGCAGAGACTACTATTTTCCACAGGCACTCGCCCCAGGGGCCTTCCTTGGCTCAGGAAGGTGGCCACTAGTGGAGAAGGCACTTGGGCCAAGACCTCACCTTCCCGGCATGCACAGCCCTGCACATCAAAGCAGAAGCTTGGGCTCCTCGGAAACAAGTGTATTTTTTATTTTTATTTTTTGCAGTGCTGGGTTCCACAGTGCTCTCCCACTGAACTGCACTCCCAGTCCTTTTTATTTTGAGACACAGTCTTGATAAGTCGCCCAGGCTGGCCTTGATCTTGGATCCTCCTGTCTCAGCCTCCTGAGTGGCTGGGATGACAGGCATGCACCCCAGGTCACCAGGAGCTTATTTGGTACTGGGTTCAACGCTGGCTTGGCAATCACAGCAAACATGGAGCGATCTCAATGGTGTTGATCCGGAGGACGGTCTGTGGGACCACAATGACTGGAAGAGAGAGAAGACACTGTCACAGGCCCAACCAGGCTGGCCACCAGGAATGAGCTTTGCCTGCCCGGTGCGGCTGCCCTGTGCACAGGGCTCTGTCCTGGCTCGCACTCCCTAGGCAGGCCTTGGCTGCGGCCCCGCCACGCCTGGTCAGGTTATCTGGGCCATCATGGCTGCTGACTGCTCCGTGGCTGCATCAGCAGGAGCAGAGCTGGAAGGCTGAGGCCTTAGGACAGAGTGGCCACCTCTGCCCCACATCCACTGCGGGTCTGGACCATGAGGAGTGAAATGCTAATTCTGTGGCCACCTGGGAGTGTCAGAGAGACAGGAGAGACTGTCCCACAAGCACATATGATCACATCCTCGACTAGTAATGGAGCAGCACCAGCAGCTGTCCCAACAGAACTGTGAGTGACACCATTTAGAGCCAGAGCCCTGGCTGTCCCAGGCCCTGTGGTGCCATCCTTCAGGTGGCTATCTTGTGGGGATGGGGTGTCCTGTGGACGCTCCTGTCTGCTGCTCAGGGCAATGCCGGGCGCCTATAATCGGAACAAGGCAGGTGGCAGACAGTGGGACAGCAAGGCCAGGCCTGGGATGCAGGGGAGGTCATCCTGTCCATTCCATGGCCCACTGCCCCTCAGAGCAGGACAGGGACACCAGCTCTGCTGCCAGGGGCCCATTCTCACCGGCATGCAGGAGCCTGGTGCCTCTCCTGTCCCCTGGCCACACCCCCCCTCTGCAGCCTGTGAAAGCCGCCCAACAGCAGCCCTTCCCCTCCAGCCTGGCTGACCATCGTCCTGGGGACTTCTTACTAACCACGCCCTGGTCATCTCTGTGCTCTCAGTGACCTGTCCTGTGCATGCCCATGGGGAAACATGTGGCAGCCCTGGGCAAGGCTGGCACCCTGTGAAGTCATCCCCAGACCCCACCTGCCCTTGTCTCACCACCAGCAGCCTCCCCTCCCCTGCAGCTATTTTACTGCTGTTGTCTGGTCACCTGCAGGACACCTGCTGATGTCTCCAGCTGCTCTGCTCCAACCCCCCCAACCTGTGCCAAAGCCACCCTCATAGCTCCCCACCGTGGGCATCCACGTCCCTGGCCTCGTCCTTCTCTAAGCGCCCTTTGGTGGCCACTGCCTGGGCCTCTCCCACCTCCAGGCCCAGAAGTGCTTCCTCCTCCAGGGGAGCCCCCATGCTACTTGACCCAGCCCCTTGACCCACTCGGGCCCACCCGGGGCCCTTCTCAGCCCCTCTCTGATGGCCTCTAGAGGGCGCTGCGCTTGGCTACAGCTGGGTTGGGGCAGAGCATAGCCCACAGGCAAGGCTAGGGACACGCCCAGCAGCGCCCACTAGGTAAGACACAAGCTGACAACTAGCCAGACAGCTGGCCTTTGGGACCAGCCACCTTGAAACAGGCACCAGCCCCTCCTCCTCCTGCCCACTCCTTTACTGCCGGTTCCCCTGGCCTCCTGCAGGGGTGGCCACAGCGTGGACGCTGGGTTCACTGAGCTCCCCCAGGCCGTCTTGTGCTGTGTGTGCTGTGCACAGACGGTGCCAAGGTCTGCCCCCGCTGAGACTCCTGGGGTGGCTCTGTCCTGCCACAGCCCGAGACCCTGCTCGCGCACTCCCTGCAGGCGGGATGACACCCCACCAAGGGACCAGCTCCAGCTTTCTCCACAGTGGATGTGACCTGTTTCCAGGGTTCCACGTGACCCCAGATGCCACTGATGTCCCTCAGGTCAGTTGCTGCTGTGACTGGCCAAGCGAGGCCCAGTAAGCACCCTGGCCTGGGTGGGCAGGGCCTCTCCCAGCTGCAGGAGGGAGCAGGGGCGCCCAGGGACAGCCACGGCAGGGGAGTGCAGGCCATGCCCCCCACTCACTTCTCTTCCTCCTGTAGTTTTTCCTTTTCTTGAATTTCATGTTGACTTTAGGCCATGATTCTGTCTTCTCAATGACTGTGGCTTCCACTCGAACGAGGTCTTTTCTAGAAGGAAAGTAAACAACCATGAAAATCATTTTTCATGTTTATTGTTTTAGGTATACAGGGACACAAAACATTATCATTGTGTGGTACTGAGGATGGAACCCAGTGCCTCCCACGTGCCAAGCAAGTGCCCTACCAGCCCTCGTGTGCTTCTTGATTATTTTTAATATTTTACTAACACTTTAGCAAAATTCCTAAAATGAAAATTCCTAAAATTTTATTAACACTTTAACAAAGTTCCCGAAGAGTTACCTTCCTTCCTGATTATAAAGGCAATATGCCCTCACTGTAAACATTCAGAAAACCATAAAAAAGCACAAAAAGAACTTTCTGTGGAGTGTGTTGGTTTGATTTTTAAAATTTTACTTTTACTTTTATTATTATTACTATATTTTGTGGTGCTGGGATCAAACCTAGGACCTCGTGTGTGCTGGGCAAGTGCTCTACCACTGAGCCACGTCCGTAGTCCTCTATTTTGTCTTCTGTGACAGGGTCTTGGTGAGTTGCGAGGCTGGCCCTGAACTCTTGCTCCTCCTCCCTCTGCCTCCTGAGTAGCTAGTGCGACAGGTGTGTGCCACCACACCTGGCTTCAAATACATCTGCACGCCTTTGTGCTATGACGAACTGGTAATGGGCTGGCAGTCTGGGCTGGACAACTCCTCATGAGACATGGGACAGCCAGATTGTGACAGAAATTTGCTGTGTTCAGCTGTGACGGTGAGCATGCACACCCCCCACCTGGCCCAGCCCACCTGTCCTGCCTGTACCCCAGCCCCCCTGCCCAGCGCTCAGTGTTGCATTACCCAAGGAGAGGCTTGCCAATAAGCGTGAAGTTGTCCGCCCCAACCAGCAGGACCTGAAAAAGTTAAGGAGGAATAGTCATCATACCATGTGGCACACAGTCACCCAAACAGGAGTGGGCACCAGGGCCCGCAGAACACGGAGCACTAGTTACCTGGAACTGCGGGAGCAGTCCCGGGTTGGATCTGACTGCTAATATCGCCTTAACTTAAACAGTGGGGGCTGGCCAGCCAGGTGGGGCTGCCCAGTGAAATGCCTGGGCCCTTGGAAGCCGCATGCAGAGAGTCTAGTCATCTGATGCAACAGTTACGTCCCAGACAACTGCTAAGCTCTTGTCTAAACTTCACCTACACTGACTCTGGTCTCACACGTTCTAGTCCAGGGGCCACCACTGAACTGCACCCCATCGTGCCACGGGTCTGTGGAGGCGGTTCTCAGTGCTGCCAACAGCGCCAAGACTCAGGCCAGCGGTGATCTTTCAACCACTGCAGAGCTGCACACAGGCCCCGTTCCACATGGGGACAGCCATGCCAAGGTGTGGCTGTGGGGAGTGCTCTGCATTCCAGGAGCAGCGGAGTCTGCATTAGATGCTGGAAGACCTTGCTGATCAGAAAGAGGTCCAGGCGTGCTGAGGCAAACACATGAAGACAAAGTTCCACGAGAGTACAACGAATGACACAGGTCAGACAATGACAAATCACAAAAGTAGCTTCTGAACTAATTTCAGCATGAAGTGCTCTTTGCTACTGGACTTCCTAAGTCATACAAACAGCCTCCACTAGGTGGGGTTTCCACCGTTTTTTGGTTATAGGAAACATTTCAAGGTAAAGGAACTGGGTGCTACCTCAGCAGAGGCAGGTCGGTCACTGAGGACTGAAAAACTTGGAAAGATGACCCTGTCTTCATTGAGCTCTTGAGTTTTTTCTTGTCATTGTTCTTCAATCAACACAGCAGATTGGCCACTTGCACACGTTTATATCGTATTAGGTACTGTAAGTCACCTAGAGGTGAATGCAGTGGCCACGCCTGTGATCTCGGCTGCTTGGGAGGCTGAGGCAGGAAAATCCCACACTCAAGGGCAGCCCAGGCAACTTGGTGAGAACCTGTCTCAAAATTAAAAATACAAAGGGCTGGAGATGCAGCTCAGTGGTGGAGCACTTGCCTAGCATGTGAGGCCCTGAGTTCAATCCCCCGTAGCGCAGAAAACCCAGACGAAACCCTAGAAAAATGTCTATTGCAGCCTTTATAGTTTTATAAACGGAGAAGGCAAAAATCAAACAAATGCCCCCCAAACACAGCAGGCAGAATTAGAACCAAAGGCGAGATGTGCTCAGCCACCTGGGTGGACCAGCCGTCCGAGTGCAAGGTGCACCACAGCCAGGCAAAGGCTGGGGACCACCCTGGCAGCCAGAGCTGACGCCAGGGCAGCACTCTACCTGGAGCTGCCATTCCTGCCCACGATCAGGGCCTGGCGAGCTCATGCCCCCACACGGGCTGCTCGACCCCAGACAGCGAGCATCTGTGAGATTGTGAGTGAGACCGCCAGGGACTGCCCTCCCTCCCTGAGCCCCGCCCGGGCACCCCGCGCCACGGTCTAGCTGGCCTTCTGCTCATTCTGGCCCAGCGGGTGGGACTGCATGTTTGGTGGCAAGTCCCTGAATAGACAGAGAAATCAACAGCCTCACCTTCTCCAATCGAATCCTCTCCCCACACTTGACATCTAGTTCATTATGGATTAAAATCAGGTCTTCGGAGGTCACCTTCCACTGGTGGCTGGCAAAGTGCACCACAGCAAAGAGACGGCCATACTGGCCGGTGGCGATCAGCTCGTTCACCTTCCTCACGACATCTGGGGAAGAGCACGGCAGTCACCCAACTGGAAAGGCACAGGTGGCCCACCCTCACCCCCCACCGCAGGGTGATGCGGAGCACTTGCTGCCCGCGGGCACCTGGTGAGGGCAGCTCACCGCAGGCGGCCTAACCCTGTCTTGTCCACCCTGTAAGCACAGGTGCCAAGGAGGAGGCCCAGCTGCTGCTCCCAGAGGCACCGGCCCCTTGGGTGTGGGGTCGACAGATGGTGGTGCCCTCAGGCCCCACAGCAGGCCCAAACTGCCTCTTGCGGTTCTCTGGCCTGAGCATGAGCCCCCTGCCTGTCCACGGCTCTGGGTGGGAAGAACCCTCATCTTTCCACTGCTGTTCATTAAGGAGCAGTGGCAGGGGGCGGCCAAACCAAGAAGGGAAGGACAGCCTTTCCCAACAAGGAGCACCCAGAATCACATTCTGGGGGCAGGCAGACTCCAGCCACACCTCTCGGACTTGGCTCCTCTGCCATCTTCACAGCCCTGACTCGAACTCAGGCCACCGTGTGCTAGACCCTGAGGTCTGCTCTGAATAGGGGCTCACTGAGCAGACACCCAGCTTGGCCTGCAGCTGGACACACAGGATGGACAAGGCAGTTCCTGCCCTGGACACAGAGTCAAAGCCAGAAGCTGCACCTGGCAGCGAGGGCAGAAGTCTTGGTGTGCAGTCAGCCCTTCGAATCCCTGGATTCAATCAACTTCAGATTGAAAAAATTCAGGGAAAAAAGCTGCATCTGTATTTAACAGATAATGGACCTTTTCTCTTGCCGTTACTCCCTAAGCAACAGAAGAATTAACGTGGCATTTATGTTACACTGGACATTATAAGTTGCCTAGAGATGACTTACATATTCAGGAGGACATGTGTAGGTGACATGTGAACCCTTAGCCATTTCAGACTTCAGGGCTTGGGCATCTGAGGATTCTGAACCCGCAGGCAGCCTGAGGCCCATCCCCCACAGACACTGGGGAATGACTACTTTCACCTTGTATGCCGTCTTTTTTCCTTTGTGGACCTGGTAATGGAACCCAGGGCCTTGCCCATGCTAGATAAGCACTCTACTCCTGAGCTACATCCCCAGCCCATCTTTGAGATCTGGTCATGCTAAGCTGCTGAGTCTGGCTTCCAAATGGCCATCCTCCTGCCTCAGCCTCCCAAGTTGCTGGGATTACAGGCATGCACCACCATGCATGGCTATCCTGTATAATACCCTAAACATACTTTAAAATACCAGAAGGGTCTATTCAACAACACAGGTTTCCAGCTTTCTGGAAAACTGAGGATCTGGCTCCTTCCTGACCACAGTGGCAGCCATGGTGTTCCTCCTCCTGATGTGGGCTCTGGGTTGCTGCAATTCCCCACACCCTGAACGTTTCTCCAGCACCCAGGGCAGCACTTCTGCTCATCAACGTTACTCTTCAGACAGGGGAGAAGCTGCTCCTGAATCCACGGAGACAGGTGGGAGCCAGGGCAGGTACTGGGACCTGCCTCGTGACAGCTGCTCCAGAGCTATTTGCTGAATGAATGAATCAACATTTTGAACATTTGGTGGTTTTGAGGTTGTTGTTTTGTACCAGGGATTGAACCTAGGGGTGCTCTACCACTGAGCACATCCCAAGCCTTTTTGTTTTGAGACAGGGTCTGGCTGAGTTGCCAAGGCTGGCCTTGAATTACCAATCTTCCTACCTCAGCCTCCTGAGTCATGGGATTACAGGCATGCACCACTGTGTGTGGTTATGAACGAGCATTTAGAATTTTGGTGTTTACTGGCAAAAATGGACATGAGGATCCACACCATGCTATGCCCTTGAGCACCTGGGATGTGAAACCCTGCTTTGTGGCAGTGGCCACCTTGATTGCTGGCCAGAGCAGTGTTGGGTGCCTCCCCTTGTTTTGACTCCCTGCAAGGATTTTAAAAAAAAATATATATATTTTTTTCTTAGCTGTAGTTAGACACAATACCTTTATTTTATGTATTTTTATGTGGTGCTGAGAATCGATTGAAGCATTTCGTGTGTGCTAGGCAAGTGCTCTACCGCTGAGCCGCAACCCCAGCCCCCTCCCTGCAAGTCTTTACCTGTGTGGTGTCTGGTCTCCTCAACTGGGTCTGGCAGAACAACTTCTGGCCATGGTGGTGAACTCAGAGACGTTTTAGGAACATACCTGTGAAAACATTTCATAAATGTGTACCATATGCACATGAAAAGCAGCTCAGAATCCCCAAGAAAGAGATGCTGCGCTTGTGGTCAAGATGAGCTATCCTCTCACAGGCACTGGACATCTGTATTGATGTGCACCACAGCAAAGAGACTGCCGTACTGGCCGGTGGCGGGTGCTGGGAGTTACAGAGCTGTGGGCGTGTGTGTGCAAACCTGCTATGGAGAGGGAGAGGGGCTTGAGCAACAGTAACACTGCCCCTTTAGGACCACTCCCACCTCTCTGGTCAAATACTGAGAAGAGTCTCCTACATACCCCGAGGGCTATGATGTACTTCAATGGGCAGTGGCTGATCAATCATTAGTAACGAGAATGTCCTAAGCATTCTGTTCCACGGGAAAACATGCCAATGTCTAGGCCCAGGATGGAGCACAGGGGAACTTGACACAAATCTGAAATTAATGGGCATTTTCCCACCATGCTTGGTTTCAGGGGTGCTAGGAACAACACACCATGATCTGCGGGTGGGCAGTGACTTTGAGGAGCAGTCTCTTAAGTCTCTGTCCTGTGTGATATTCATAAAGAAAACAACACAGATAAATGGGGCCTGGCAAAGACAGCCAGAACCTTTCATGTGCGATATGGGAATAACAGGACACTTCTAGTAAAACGCCACTTCGGATTTCTTCCTAGGTTCAGATTGAGTTTTTCAACTTCTGCTCCTGCTGCTGCTGAGCATTCTGGCGGGAGGCAGGCACATCTGTGTGTATTTCTCCCTCCTCCCCACACCCGCAGCCTGGGGAGGGGAGCTGGGGGCTCGCCCACTGAACTCGATCCCAGCCCCTTCTCTTTTTACTTTGGGACGACGGGGTCTCCTTCAGTGGCCGGGTCTGGTATTCTCCCTACCAGGTGTTCTGCGGAGCTGAGAACTAATCTAAGGCCTGAGAAAACTGTCAAAAGGTCAGAGCTTAAGCGCTCTCCGACACTCGGGCGAGGGGAGTCCTGGCTCGAGGGGGAGGCGAGGCGCAGACCCCATCTGGCTATTACCCTGCTGGAGGCGACGGGCTCTGCGAACCGAGTCTCCGCGCGGCGGGCCCGAGCGCGGCTGCGGGAAGAAGAGAGCGCGGTCACCAGGGCGAGGGAACGCAGGGGCGTCTGCCGCGCGCAGCGGCCGCAGCAGGGCCTCGAAACCGGCGACCCGGACCGGCCCCCGGCGACCCCGCTCGGGCTCCGCGGCCTGTCCCTCCCCGCCGCCGCCGGGGCCAGCCACCAACTCCCGGGCCTACTCGGAAGCCAAGGGGACGTCGCCTGCCCAGGCCGCCCCCTCCCTGCACCAGGCCGTCCGGGCCTCACCCGCTCCGGGCCGCCAGGGTGTTAGAATGCTGCGGCCGCAGGCCAACGCCAGCCGCCCGAGGGGGCCCGTGAGCGCCGCGGCCGCCGCCATCTTCGCGTGGTCCGGCCGGAAGCGGAAGTGGAAGCGGCGCGGACCCTGTGCCGCGACGCACCAGCCGGGCGGGGAACGCGGCTGCTGCGCGGCAGCGGGTCCGTGGCGGTGCGGCCATGGCTTCGGCCACTGTGGAGAGGTTCGTGACCAAGCAGCTGGACTTGCTGGAACTGGAGAGGAACGCGGAGGTGGAGGAGCGCAGGTAGGCGGCGGGCGCCAGGCCGCTGTGGGGAGCCCGCCGTGTCACCCGGTCCGCAGGTGCGCGTCTCCTCAGCGTGGGCACCTGCCGGTGGCCGCGGAGTCCCGGCCGCGGGCTCYGGCGGCGGCGCGCGCAGCTGTCTGCTTCCAGCCTCAGTTTGTGGTCTCCAAACCCCATTCACGCGGCACACCCCAGGGGGGCAGGTGCAGGCTACGGAGCTGTAGGACGGGGTCAGGGCGACGCAGGGCTCAGAAGGCAGGTGGTCAGGTAAGAGAGAGGACCGGCCCCAGAACTCGGCCAGACGCGGAGTGATACCGCCGGTTACCGGTTCGAGCCCTGCTCCCCCCACCCCCGTGTTGAAGTCTGAACCTTAGAGCAGCAGGCC